ATGGGCTTTATTTTTATCCATTCAGCCCATGTATTTTGATTGAAGCATTTAGTCCATTTATATTTAAATCAGTTATTGATGGGTATGGACTTATTGCCATTTTGTTAATTGTACATATTTTGGTTGTTTTTGTAGTTCTATTTTTCCCCCCTCTTGTCTTGATCTCTTTATGGTTTGCTGGTTTTCTTTAGTGTGACGTTTCGGTTCCTTTCTCTTTATTTTCTGTGTATCTTTTGTAGGTTCTTGGTTTGTGGTTACCGTGAAGTTCATATGCATTGACCTGTATCTATTTTAAGCGGTGTATTTTAAGCTGATAGGCATTTTAAGTTCAAACACATAAAAGCGCTACAGTTTTACTCCTCCCTCCACACTTTGTTTTCAACATTATATTTTAAATATTTTCATTTATGTAGCCCCTAACTACTTATTGTAGTTATAGTGGATTTTGATATGTTTTTCTTTTAACCTTCATGCTAGCTTTTTAAGTGGAAGGTTCACAGCCTTCACTATATATTTGCCTTTACTAGCGAGATCTTTTCTTTCACATGTTTATTTCAGGTTATGGCCTTTTCTTTTCCATGTAAAGAAGACCCTTTAACATTTCTTGCAAAGTTGACTTAGTGGTGGTGAACTCCTGTAGCTTTTACTTGTCTTGGAAACTCTCTCTCCTTCAATTCTGAATGATGGCCTTGCCTGGTAGAGAGTATTCTAGACTGTAGGTTCTTTCCTTTTGGCACTTTAACGTAGCCTGCCTCTCCCTCGGGCCAGTGAAGTTTCTGCTGAGAAATCAGTGGGTAGGCTTTGAGGGTTTCCCTTTTAATCTTGTTGCCTTCAAGATTCTCTATTTTAACTTTTGCCATTTTGTAATATGTCTTGGGGAGGGTCTCCTTGAGTTCACCTTGGTTGGGACTCTGTGCATCCTGGACCTAGACGTCTGTTTCCTTCCCCAGTTTAGGAAAATTTTCAGCCATTATTTCTTCAAATACGTTTTCTACCCCTTTCTCTCTCTTCCTTCTGGTACCCTGATAATGTAAATGTTAGTATACTTGATGTTTTCCCAGAAGTCCCTTCAACTATCTTCATTTTTTAAAAAATTGTTTCTTTTTGCTGTTCTAATTGGGTGATTTCTGCTATTCTGTCTCCTGGTCCACTAATTTGTTCTTCAGTATAATCTGATCTGCTATTGATTTCCTCTAGTGTACTTTTTTTAAAAATTGATTTTTTACAGAGAGGAAGGGAGAGGGATAGAGAGTTAGAAACATTGATGAGAGAGAAACATCGATCAGCTGCCTCCTGCACACCCCCTACTGGGGATGTGCCTGCAACCACGGTACATGCCCTTGACCAGAATCGAACTTGGGACCCTTCAGTCTGCAGGCCGACGCTCTATTCACTGAGCCAAACTGGTTAGGGCTCTAGTGTACTTTTCTTTCAGTTATTGTATTTTTTTTTAAACCTCTGATTGGTTCTTTTAAAATATTTTCTAAATCTTTGTTAAAGTTCGCGCTGTGTTCCCCTATTCTCCCAAGTTTGGTGAGCACCCTTATGACCATTACTTTGAATTCTTTATCAGGTACTTATCTCCACGTCAGGGCTTTTTCCTGGTTTTATTTTCCTGTTTTTTCATTGGGACATATTTCTTTGTCTCCTCACTTTGCCTTTCTGCATTTGTTTCTACTAACTGGATGAAACACCTACCTCTCCTGACGCTGAAGGAGTGGCCTTGTGTAGAAGTGACATCTGTGTAGGCTGTGAGTTCCAGGTGGCTCTGGCAGGGTGACTGCAATTGAAGCGGTCACTCATGTCCCAGGGGTGCCTTGGCAGGCCAACTGCTGGAGCTGGAGCTGGTGCTGGCCAAGCTCTCCTGAGGTATATGGCTCTGGGGACACCCTGGGGGCCAGCTGGCTGGAGCTGGAGCAGGCACAGGGCAGAGCAGTTTTATTGCTGTGCTCAGGGCAGGTGAATCTGCACAGGAGACCCTAAGTGATAACCTTCCTTACTGCAAGGTTGCCCCATTGGGGTAGTGTTCCCACAGTTTCTATCTCTCCTATCCTTCTCTATGCGTCTCTCTCTCTCTCATTTGATGTGCAGAAGCTGTTCAACCAGCCCTTGGTGGTTCTTCAGGAGAAACTGATCTGTAGGTAGGTATATATTTGCTGTGTTCATGGGAGGAGGGGAGTTCAAGGTCTTTCTTACTCCACTACTAGTTTATAAATATACATTTTTGGTTAACTCTCACCTGAGAATATTTTTTCCATTTTTTTTTTTTTTGAGAGGAAGGAGAGAGAGAGGTTGATTGGTTGCCTATTGCATGCAGTAGGTATTGAATCTGCAACCCAGGTACATGCCCTTGACCAGGAATCAAATATCTGACCTTTCAGTGCGTGGGCCGATGCTCTAACCACTAAGCACATGGGCCAGGGCTCTGCTCCGCTATCTTGAACCCTCCTCCAAGTAAAGAACTCTTAATAGTTTTGGGCCGGTCTGAGGGCAGTAGGGAAATTCTGGTTTAGTGATTTGAAGTTGGATAGGTTCTTGGAGATTGGGGTAAGCTGACTGAGGTGATTTGAAAGTCAGTGACTGGAATCCAGCTCTCCTTGCCTGGAACCAGATCTGACTTTTAACCCCTGTGTGGCCACACACCGTGGGCCTGGCTGGTGGTTCTGCCACTGCCACGCCAGGTCCTGCTTTCCTCAGCATCCAAACTGTCAGCCCCCAAAGTCACAAGGTCATTCCTTGCCAACCTGGTAACTAGTCTCATACCATTACCTGTCCAGGGAACACAGGAATTTAAACAGTCATGGCAGAAAGTTTCATATAAAAGGGGCTTTAAATTTCCTTTTTTAGTAAAAATGAAAAAAAAAAAAGCCTTCTTTTACCTAACTACACTCTCTCTGGCTATCCTTAAGCCCGTTTCCCCCTGTAAGGTACTCTGTGGTCAGCTGACCTGTCAAAATAACACTCAGATATCTGGTCATAGTTAAGTGCCTTGTGCTATAGTATCTATTTTTTAAAAATCATGAATGGCTATGGCTATCCTCCAGTTACCCCTTTTCTCCAAAAGCCCTGCCTCTACGCCATCACCTGGCAAACTGTAAAAACTATAAACTCTAAGCTCCCACCCCGACTTGCTAAATTACAGATGCTGGGGATGTGGCCGAGTGATGCTGACGCAATCATATATTGGAAAAGCCTTCACATATTGGAGATGGAGGGCAGGGGAGACATGCTTGACTGTCTTCAATTCCCAGTCACTGGCTTTACACAGGATTCTATTTAATCCTCAAAATAGTATGTAGATAAGGCCACTACTACTTCACCAGATGAGCAAACCAAACTAAAAAGAGATTAGATAGCCCTAGCTGGTTTGCCTCAGTGGATAAAGCATCAGCCTGCGGACCAAATGGTCCCAGGTTCAATTCCGGTCAAGGGCATGTACCTTGGTTGCAGGCTCCTCCCCAGCCTGGGCCCTGGTCGGAGCTCATGTAGGAGGCAACCAATTGATATGTTTCTCTCACATCGATGTTTGTCTTTCCCTCTCTCTCCCACTCTCCCTAAAAATCAATGGAAAAATATCCTCAGGTGATGATTAACAACAAAAAATTTGCTAATTTACCTAAAGACATAGTGCTACATAATGGCTGGGATTTGAGTCCCAGTCTAAGTCAAATGTCTTTTTCTAATCAGAGAATGACAGTTCCATATGGACAGGTCATGAGTGGCATCATTCCTATGGGGGAAAGTAGCCACATGATTGTGGCATCATGCTTTAGAAACCACAGCTGGTGTGGAACAGCGTGCACGTTTGTGTGGATCTGTCAGGCGAGCCTTCTTGCACTTGAACCCGTTTGGCTCAGCGTGGGGGGAGCAGCACCAGGTTGCTGCTGGAACACGTCTGCTGTGAGACCGGATGGACTCCGTGCAGGTCACTCTTCCACTTTTAACTGAAGCTCTGCCCTCAGACGCTCACTTTTATCCCCACGTGGAGATACTACTCCAACCCAATCCGATCTGTTTACAACCTGCAGCACATTTCCAGTGCAATTGGCCCCGCCAGCCAGCTCCTGAAGGAGGACCCTCTATCACTGTAGGCCAATGGCACCTTCTCCCAGGAACTGCCAACCGACGATCGAGGCCTTCAGAAGTAATGTAGACACCCTCCAAACCAGGTAAGGATTATGGTTCTCAACCTGCTGGCCCTTTAAATACAGTTCCTCATGTTGTGACCCAACCATACAATTATTTTCGTTGCTACTTCGTAACTGTAATGTTGCTACTGTTATGAATCGTAATGTAAATATCTGATATGCAGGATGGTCTTAGGCGACCCCTGTGAAAGGATCGTTCGACCGCCAAAGGGGTCGCAACCCACAGGTTGAGAACCGCTGGGACAGACCGCTTTAGCACGTCAATCAGAGTATCTTGTGGCATCTGGCGTCACCCTGTGCTGTTAATTCTAGAATCTGTAGAATTGTTGCACCAATTAAAAGGAAGAAACTCTGTTAGCTCTCAATTAGCTGCACCACTGGAGAGGAACAGTGACGTGGTAGACTTTGCAATTTTGTTTCCTTTGGCTTTGGAATGCACTATTTTCTCAGTAGATTAACTTTTCTAATTATATTTTGCACAGCCTACTATTAACTGGCATTTGTATTTCCTGAGCACACAACATCTAACACTGAGTCGGGGACACAGTAGTGGCCAAAACTGTGCTGGTCTCAGGGAATGACAGTGCTGTTGTGGAAAATCCACACGTGGATAATGAACAGAGAACTAATTATAAAGTGCTCTGCAAATATTAAATCTGCAGCAGAGAAGGCAAATTAGGAATTCTCCACGGACATGTGAACAGAGATTAAACAAGCTTATTGAAATTCTAAAAGGAACAGAAACGTCCAAGAATCGTCTTTCGCGTTAATGGAGCCAGATGAAAAGATGAGGCCAGTGAGTGACTGGGTGGTCGTTCAAACAAGAAAACCTCAAGCAGTAATACCAATGCGTTTTACAAGAGCGTTTAAAATGAATTTTATTGTTGGACTTTTACAAGTAGTCTTTAAAGGCTTCAAACAAGAACTCTGTTGCAAAACTCTAATAAATAGCTTGCCCCAAGTCCCCAAACAAAATGTAAAACAAAGTAAAAACTAAACTCAGGCGGATAAGCAAGCCTTCAGAATGCTTAAATGCTAGTGACATTTCTCATTGATAAAGAGATATCAGGCAATGTACAATCTCCTTCACAGACGCCAGAGACGATTGAGATCTTTACAGAGCACTCTGAAATCTTCCCATTTCCATAATAGAAATGTCACCAGAAAAAAAAATAATCCCATGGAGAAATCACAATTATGAATGAAACTGTAGCATAAAAGTCTGGGGCTGGGGATCGGGGAGGAGAGAGGAAAACCCACCCTGTTTCTTTCAGGGCTGGAGTGAGGAATGAGTCGGGGTTCCTTGGGGCAGGGAACGCCCAAGCAGATGACACTAGCTCGCTGCACGTTCCCCCTGAAAGGGCACAGGTGTCAGCTTTCTGACAATTATGAAGGCTAGAAACAGGGCCGCCAGGGGCTCCCCTGGGGTCAACACTGCTGGGCCCAGTGTGTGTGCTCTGCGGGGCCCAGGGCCTTGGAACAGCGGCCCCAAGCAGCTGCATCACGAGGCAGGAGAAGGAGCACAGGGGCCGTTTCTGCAGCAGAACCCTTTGACGGCCGCAGAGGATGCAGAAAACGCCGTGCTTCGGGTGCACACTGGGACATGCAGGTTTCAGAAGCCCATTCCACCATCACAGTCATTGCTCCTAAGAAGCAAGTACTAAAATTCACAACTTAACATCCGCTTTTCCTAGTTTCAAATACTGGTGAAATCTTGCTTTGGAGACAAGGGTTTATTAATTTTTTAATATGGTCATTTTGAGTGAGCCAAAAATACAATTTTGCTGCCTTTTTCATCGTTTAAAAATCTCCAACACGATACTTTTGGCCAAAATGCTACAGATAATATTGCAAGATGAAAGAATTCTGAAATCAATCAGTGTTTGGAGCCCGGAAGCTGCAGGGAGGCCGATTCCAATTGGGTGGGATTCACTTAAGCCAAACCGAGGGCTCTCGCTGAAAGGAGCACACAGCACCTGGGGCCATCTCCCCCGGAAAGGAAGGGAATGAGGGCACAAGGCAGGACCTGAGGGGCGTGGCCTGCAGGCAAGGCTGCCTCTCTCGGTAGGGCTTTGCTATGGGATAATAACCCTGTCTTGCCAGTCTCTGCAGGACAGGAACCAACAGCACAGGCTCCTGCACAAGCCAGCAGCAGAGGCAGGCCCTCCCTCCCCGGCATTTTAGGAATGCAGGTAAGGAAACCCCTTCCCCAAATACACAATTTTTAAAACCTTTTACTTTCCTAGGAACAATGACATTCGTCAGGATAATGAGGGGCAGCCTGGGTTGCTGGGGTTACCTGAAACAGTTAAGAAAGAGCTGAAGGAAATAGAGGCAGATAAGCCGGGGAACCTTGTCGTAGGCCCAGTTTCTTTTTAAATACATAACAGATAAAGATATTGTGCAAAAAAATAAAGACATTCACATTTTAGCAGTTAAACTTTATTTTACTTTTTAAAATTTTTACTTTTTTGTTTTTCTTTTCTACAAAAGGCAGACAATGATTGTTGATCTGCAATTGTTTTGTGTGTGTGTGTGTGTACCCCCAAAAGTGGGCCGAGTAGGTAGGAAGCTGAGCAGGGAGTCTGGGAACGCCCAGTGGCATGACCAGGGCCTGCACAGCCTCCGGAGGCTGCGGCCGCTCCGGCCTGCCTGCCCTAGCTCATGTCGATGGTGTTGAAGACCCACTCGGTGAACTTCTTCAGCTTGTCGGAGGCGTTCTGGGACTCCTCCTGCAGCCTCAGGTTGTCCTCGCGCAGGTGCTGGACTTCTGCCTGAAGGTGGGCTTTGTCTTCTTTTTCCTGAGGCAGAGAAAAGGACTGAGCATGGCACCCACCTCGCCAGGCTGCCGGGGAGAGTGGCTGTGGGTCTGTCTGCACCCTCCGCCCGTGTCCACTCTTCCTGCCACTAAACTTCTGTAGCCAGGCCTCGTCCTGGGTGTTCAGATCCGCTCACCCAGGGAGCAAGGCTGCCAGATTCCCTACAGTTTACCTTGGAATGTAAACAATGTGTTTTGATGTCTTTGTTCATAAGGACTGTCTTGCAGTTTAGACTGCTGTTCTGGTGGCTGCTGCCTTAATACAGTCAAAGCTGCTCGAGAAACAAGACGAGGTGAAGGTCTCTCGGCATGGAGGCATGGCCACAATGACATGTGGGTCTGGGCTTCTGACCCACGTACAGGGGTGGGAAGCTCAGAGGGGCGGCTGAGGCTCGAGGCTTCCACAATGGGAACGCGTGAAGGCCTTCTTATACCACGTGGCCAGTGGGAACCGAGCTCCAAGGAGCCCCCCAAACACCCCCCTCTTACCCCACTAAGGAACATGACGTAGAGGGGCCGGCTGCCTGAGAAGACGCCTACCTTCTTCAGGTCTTCCCGAAGCATCTTCAGCATCCCCTCCAGCTGGTCCACCTTAGAGGCCAGAGTGGGAGAGGAGTCCTTACTGCTGGAACGAGAAACAGTCCACGTTGGCGGGAGCCTTCTGGCGGGGTTTGTTGGGCATTTTTTAAAATGAGGCGGCTGTATTTGTAACATGGTTTTCAATGTCAAATTACTCAGGATGGCAACCCAATGTGCATGTTCACTTTAAAAAAGAAAATGGTCATCTCAACAGAAGGCCGTACAAGCAGGGACTACAGCCAATCCATGGCTTCCTTTGTTCCAGAGGCTGCATTTTTATAACAAAAGAACACAGGACAATGAGTGAAAATGGTCTCCGTGGCAGCGCGCTTTCTGGCAGGATCACCGGGAACAGGTTCCTGTCTGCAGCGGCTTTAGGAAGAGGGGCTGATGGAAGTGCCACCTCGGGGCAACAAGGAGGGGTCCCGGGTCCCCAGAAAAGAGTCCGTGACTACTATCCAGCTGAAAGTTACTGGGCTCACATCTTAAAAAGAGTCTAAATATCTTTACTTTTAAAATAAGACTACATGTTTCAGAAGCTTGTCAGCCTACCCTTAATGTCTTATATTCTTTGCTATTATGATCAGCAAGCTAGACACATAATTTTCTTTTTTTTGTAAATACATTTTTATTATTTCAGAGAGGAAGGGAGAGGGAGAAAGAAATAGAAACATCAACGATGAGAAAGAATCATCAATCGGCTGCCTCCTGCATGCCCCCCACTGGGGACCGAGCCCGCAACCCAGGCATGTGCCCTTGACTGGAAGTGAACCCGGGACCCTTCAGTCCGCAGACTGACGCTCAATCCACTGAGCCAAACCAGCTAGGGTGACACACAATTTTCTTATTCTCTCTGTGTCCCACAGCTGACCACTGAGATGCTGTAATATACAGTAAGTCCGCACTTAACACCACGCATAGAATCTGCAACTTTAAGTGAAACGACATGTAACAACCAATTTTGTCACAGGCTCATTGACATAACCAAGAGTTAAGTTGCTTCAATGAAACAATGTTTTCAAGGACCGCTGGTATAATAATGCCACATACATCCACTATCCTCACCACCTGGAACGGAGGGGAAAACGCCTGCCTCTGCACGTTATACAGAAGTCAAGTTCATGTTCTTAGCTCACAAGAAAACCCCCTGGGACTCAGTTACTGCTCATTTATTTTACATACACTCTTAGGTACCCCATGGCCCAGACCTAGTGCAGAGCTGGAGCTGCCAGGACGCAGGCACATTCATAAGCATGACCGACAGGAGGCTGCGGAAGGGACTCGGGGGCTAACCACACAGGAATCTGGGGATGTTTTAGCACAAATGACTCTTCTTACCCTGCTTCCTAATGCCCAGGGTATGAGTGTATAAAGCATTAAGTAAAGAATGTTCGTACTTCCCACTCTCAGCTACCAAGGGCGGGTTAACTGTGTTTACAGTGTTCAGTTACAGGTGTTCCAACTGAAACGCGAGGAGCTGGCACCGCGGTGATGAGCCCCCAGCTTGCCTAGGGGCCTCTGTCTCCTCCCACAGCTGCTGATGTAGTGATGTGTATGCAGGGGGGTGGCCTCACCTCTGGGTGACCCACCTGCTGTAGGACTTCATCTGGACCAGGGCCTGGTCCTCAAGCTGGTCGCTGTTGGATGCAGCACTCAAGGGGCGATGGTTTTCATCACTAGCAGCAAAGAAGGAGGCTCTCTGGACTGCAAAGGAGGCAGAAACGCTCAGCAGCTGGGAAACATCCTGGGCTCTGAGTCAGCATGTGGCCCACACTGATCCCCCAAGCTCACAGGGAAAAACAGCTGTTCTAAGCTGCAACAGGACAGCAGCATTGTAACTGTCCTTAAAAAACAGTTGCTGTGCATCCATTTTAGTCCCCCTTTTCTCTTATCAAATTCTCCCTCTGCTCAATGTTTCCCTGGAAACAGGCCTTGTGCCACGTTTCCAGCCCAGGCTTCCCCCTCAGTGGGGACGTCAAGTGCATCAGGAGCTCGGACTGGGCTTCCTGAGGCTCCCATGGCCAGCCGGTGGGCTGGACCAAGTCCATACCTGTGTGCTTCCAAGTGTCCCAACTTAACCCTCGAGCCAAGAAAACAGAATCAAGTTTAAAAACTCCCATTAGAAACACAAAACGCCTACCATTCTGTCTGTACAGTCAGGGCAGGAGAGACGGTCAGACAGGCCCAGGCTTCCCTGAGCCCCCACTGCCCTGGTTCCAGCCTCACAACAGAGAGAGGGCGGCGACCCCAGTGGCACAGAATGGGGGGCAGGAGGCCGGGAGAACCTGGCTGCACCCACTCGGACTCTGCCCCATGGGGCAGGTGATATATGCACATGTATAGACGGTGTCTATATAAACGAGAGGGACCCACAGACTGAAGTTTAAAACTGCGTTAGTCCTGGGACTGCGGTCAGCTACATGGGGATTCCTTGCTGACTGCGTCATGGTGGCCTGACTTCCAAGGCCTAATCAATTTCTCCTGCAAACTGGCGCTTGTCTGAACAGCTACTTTCAATTCTTCAAAGAAGAGCAATAAACACCACCCCCCCGCACCCCCAAGAAATCATCTGCTATCATCATCTTTTTGTTGTTGTTAATCCTCACCTGAGGATATTTTTCCATTGATTTTTAGAGAGAGTGGAAGGGAGGGGGGAAGACAGAGAGGGAGAAACATCGCTGTGAGAGAGACACATCGATTGGTTGCCTTCCGCCCGCCCCCTCTCAGGCCTGAAACAAAGGTATGTGCCCTTGACCGAAATCAAATCTGCAACCCTTAGTCCTCAGGCCAGTGCTCTTTCCCCTGAGCCAAACCGGCTAGGGCCTGTCATCCTCATTTTATGAAGAACGACTTAACAGCAAAAAGTTTGGAATGATGACCTTAGAATGAAGTCAGTTTATTCCAAAAAAGGCACCTGACAACCTATGTCAGCACACAAGACAGCACTGCAGTTTTACATACGTCAGCGCCGTCGAAGGACCATAGGCTTAGAGCAAGCACTGGGCAGGGGGCTGGCACGGGAACAACACAGACAGGACACGTGCCACCACCCTTGGGAGGGATGAATGTGGGACAGGGGCGGGCCCAGCACCCTAACAGATCCCATGTGTGTTCAGCAATGATGTCCTTACGATGTGATGAAGGACCACATTTTTCTCCTTCAAGTGACAGTTGGGACCCCCTGCCCTTCCCACTCAGGGAGGGAAGGCACCATGTTATGAATTCCTCCAGAGGACACATCAGGCTCCACCTACTGAATCAGAGGGTGTGAGCCCTGCTGAGCGCTCAGTACCAGCTCAGCTGGTCCTGGCTGTGCCGGTGATGGGCGGGGGCTGTCGCTGTGTCCAAGGACACAGACTGAGGGAGACTGACCAGCACTCACACGGCAGTGTGGCCCTGCGTAGGTCCCAGCCGGACTGCTCGATCCCCAGTGGACTCACCCTCATAGGCCTTGGCGGCATCCACCAAGTTGGACCAATCCAAATCGGCAGCAGCGTCGGGCAGGGGCATGAGGCCAGGGTCGGGCATGGGCCTGCGGGCCTCCTGGACGTCGGTGAGGGAGCTGTCCGAGGCGGAGAACTCTCCTGCAGGAAGAGATGAGCGATCAGATGCTTCTCGGGCCACAGACCACACAGGAGCTGACCATCTCCTGCTACCACGGCAGGTCTGTAAGTCGGTACCGAGAATCAGCTTCTAGTCAAGCAGGTCTTAGTGGCCTTTTCAAAGCTGAGTTCAACTACAAATTGGCTTCCTCCAGTCTTAAGTCATTTTTTTATAACCTCCTCCTATCTCATTCCCAGTGGTGTGACTGGGGAAAGGCAGTTTTCCACTGAGGAATCATGTCTGCTGTGGCAGGAGCTGCTTGTCTGCCTTGGGGTCCAGGGCAGCCCATATCTCACTTTTCCTTACGGGCCAGGAATTCGGGCTGGAGTAAGAGGCTCCTCTCCTTCCCAGGGATAAGCACCTCCTGGGCCATAGCAGTCCAACATCTGAGCCTCTTCTAAGGTGACAGTTTTTAAGATACAAATATTGAGCCATCGTATCAGCTGACCTTTGCTTGGCCTGGGCAAGCAGGAGCAGGCGAAGGGGCCGCCCCACGCCCCACGGGGGCGCTGCTACCGCTCCAGCTCATGATGTGGAGAACACAGAGGGGGATGGGGCTCAAGAAGGCAAATGCGGTCAACAGGCCAGGAGGGGGTGGGAAGAGGGCAGAGCGCGCAGTTTCGTGAGAAAGGCCGCCCAGAATAGGACCGCCACTGCTCTCATGCAGAATGGATGGAGCTCCCAGCTGAAATGCGCAAGCAACTCCAGAAACACCTGTTTACAAGGAGTTAAAAAGTTTCATCAATTATGAGAGCTGGTAAACCAGGGTATATTTAGTGCTTGTTTCCCCTCCCAAATTACACGAAGAACGGCTCTGAAGTGCAGCTGCTAGTTATTAACGTGCTTAAAATTAGCACGATTATGAGTTAATGGAAATAACAAATACTGCCAGAAATTAAATGCTCAGTTCTATTGAAACTTGCTCCCACCAAGGTTAAGTAGGTGGAACAGACAATTTTGTGTGTCACTCATAATCTTCTGCCTTTTTCATTTCTGGGGCTCAGTTATCATATGGGGGGAAAAGAAGTCACCCCTCGCCATGGCGCACACTCATTTCCGTGGTATCCCACCACAGGAGGCCAGGCCGCGGGACCAGCCAACAAGGACTGCTCAGCTTAGGACACGGGACCCGGCGCTGCTGCCCGACTTCCGTGAGAGCAGGACGTGATGGGCAGGTGCTCAGGAGACTTTCCCATCCTCAGGGCTGGGCCTGTACCCTGGGCTCCGTCGGCTCAACGGTGACTGTGGGTGTTCTGGGCTGTCCTCAGAATGGAAGCCTCTAGAAGACAGGGCCTGCACTGACAGACATGTGCAGAGAGGCCTTCACAAGGTTTAAAGGCATGCAGGGGCGTTAGAGAGGCACTCAGGGCAAGAAAGTTGTAGAAGCAACGGAATTCAGGGGGAGTGGCCCCAATGTGGGGACAGAAAGGGAGAAAGGATTCTGGCATATCGGGTCACTACCAGGAGGCTTTTTCTAGAGTCTGGATGGTAAAAAGTGCAGCTGAAGGGGGGGAGCTGGCATGATGCCCAAGTGGTGCCTGCAGGGCGAGGGGGGTACAGAACGGGAACAGGGAGCAGGACAGAGACAATGGAGGAACGTTCACGCGTGGGCGGAGAGCTCACAAAACATGCAGGGAGAAAGCACACCAGGCAAGCAGCAGTTTAAGGAAATACTGCTCCGAGAAGCAGCAGAGGAAAGGAATGTGGGTTTGAATGGACACAGAATTCCCAGAGGGGAATAAAAAGGTAGGGGAGGTGTATATATAACAAGCAGGAACACAGGTTCCACAGAGGTATCAGCTCTGTGGGGAGGGGAGGTACAGAATCCTGGAGTGCAGCTGGACAGAGGGAGGAGAAAGAAAAATAACTAATTTAAACCCACAGTCCCAGAATATGGCCTTCAGAAACCTGGGATCTAGTGCAAATAAGGCATTCATGAGCCACAGGCAAACCCAGGGAGGTACCCCATCATTCACATGCCTTTTCCTCACATGCTTGCTCACTGATGAATGAATGAGCCCACAAACAAGTGGCAGAGACCACAGACAATCCTCATAGTTGGGGAAGACAGAGAAGAATGACAAGCCTGGGTTTCTATGGTGGTTAGAGGGAGGCAAAGGATATAGTGTCTAAGAAGTAACTAAACTACTATTAGCCAAATTTACCCAACCTGGTGAAATACTAATTCTCAAGCCTTTGTATTCAAATTCAAATTCAGCAGGCCTTAGGAAAGGCCTGGAAGTCTGTATCTTTAACGAAGATCCGATAGGGCAGCTTTTACATGCATCTGGTGCCCAGGATTTTGCGGCTGTTACCCAGGGAGGCGCCATGACTGGTGGCCGGGGGCTTGCATTCCTGGGTCCCCTGGGACTGTCACAGCCGGAGAGAGTGTTGCTGGCAGTCTGTCACCACCCGGCACTGCACAGACAGCAGTCTGAAACAGTCTCCAGTCTTTCTGTGGAAGAGGCTTATGTGCTTGTTCTGGGACTTTGGCCTAAGGAAGGCTCGGATTTGGCCTATGAAGGGCTCTTGGGGAACAGAGGCTGATAGGCGCCATCTTTCTTCTTTTCCTCACTCCAGCTCACCAGTGTCTCCTGGAACAAGTTTATACACTCATCTGACACCTCGATTTTGTGACTGCCGCCGAGATGACACCTCTAGATGGCCTGGTTCTGGTGACCAGCACGACTTATGCTTGCAGTCCCACAGGATGTCAGATATTTGTAAACTTTAAAAGCTGCTGTCAGAAGATCTGGCTTCCTATCAGCCTGAGTGTAAGTACTGGCTGAGATCCTCCCCTTTAGGACTGTGACTGACAGGTCTTGGCATACCCTCAACTATGAGCAGTCACTAAAAATAAAATTGATTGCTTGGATATCACAAAGGTTTGAGAGAAAAGAGCTGGGGTGGGGATTAACAGTAAGGGTGTATCCCTTACATGAGGCCACTCCTTTAAGACATGGATGAAATATATACATTCTTCTCAAGCACACATGAACAATTATCCAAGATAGATCATATATTAGGCTCTAAAACAAGTCAATGAATTTAAAAAGATTCAAATCATTTCAAGCATTTTTCCCCACCACAATGGTATGAAACTTAAAATTATAAGAAGAAAACAAAAATTTACAAATATGTGGAGTTTAAACAACATGCTACTGAATAACCAACAGGCCAAAGAATAATCAAAAGGGAAATAAAAAAATACCATAAGACAAATGAAAATACAACATACCAAAACCAATGGGATGCAGCCAAAGCAGTCCTAAGAGGGAAGTTCATAGTAATAACTATTGAACAATTATTCATCAAAAAATTAGAAAACCTAGAAGAAATGAATACATTCCTAGAAACATATAACCTACCAAGACTGAATCATAAAGAAAAAATCTGAACAGAGCAGACACACTACTAGTAAGGAGACTGAATTAGTAATCACAAACCTACCAATAAATAAAAGACCAGAACCAGAGGGCTTTACAGGCGAAATCTACCAAACATTCAAAGAAGAATGAAAAACTACTTTCTCAAACTCTTCCAGAAAATGGAAGGAATAGTTCCAAACTCATTTTACGAGGCCAGCATTTCCCAGAGACCAAAATTAGACAGGAATGCCATAAAAAAAAAAATCAGAGGCCAATATCCTTGATGAACATTGATGCAAAAATCCTCAACAAAATATTAGCAGACCAAATTCAGTAAGACATTAAAAGGATACATGGTCAATTAGTTTATAACATACGAGCAACAGACAGACAACGGGGAAGGGAGAGTCTCTTCAATAAATGGCGCTGGGAAAACTGAACAATCACATGCAAAAGAATGAATCTGGATCATTATTTTATACCATACGCAAAAATTAATTCAAGATGGATTAAAGGCTTGAATATAAGACTCCTAGTAGAAAACATAGGCATTAATTTCATAACCCACAGCTCTTAGGTACACCCCTTCAAATCACTTAGGGCAATGAATTCTTAGAGCTGACACCAAGAGCAAAGGCAACAAAAGCAAAAATAAAACAAGTGCAACTACATCAAACTAAAAAGCTGCACAGCAAAGAAACCATCAACAAAGTGAAAAGGCAACCCAGAAGTGGGAGAAAAATATTTTCAAATAATATATCCGTTAAGGGGTTAATATCCAAAATATACACAGAACTCACAACTCAAAACCCAAACAATCTCATGACAAAGAGGATCCGAATAGACTTTCCCCCCCCGACATTCAGATGGCCAACAGGTACATAAAAAGATGCTCAACATCACTAATCATCAGGAAAATGCAAATCACTATCACCTCACACCTGTTAGAATAGCTGTTATAAAAAAGGCAAGATATTAATTTCTAGGAAAAAAAATAAAGGCAAGATAAAAGTGTTGGCGAGTATGTGAAGAAATGGGAATCCTTGTACACTGTTGGTACGAATGTAAATTGGTGCAGTCAGTACGGAAAACAGTAAGGAGGTTCCTCAAAATAAAACTACCATATGATCTAGCACTTCTATTTCTGGGTATTTACCCAAAGACAATGAAAACACTAACTTGAAAAGACAGAAACACCCCCATATTCACTGCAGCGTTATTTGCAATAACCAAGATGTGGAAATAATCTAAGTGTCTATTGATGGATGAGCAGATAAAGAAGATATGACATCTATGCAATGGAATATAGTTAGCAGCTATAAAAATAAAAGTTTGCTATTAGCAACAACATGCTGGACCGTGAGGGCATTGTGCTAATTGAAAAAAATCTGACACAAAAAGGTAAGTCATGAGGATATAGTGCATGGTGACTACAGTGGGGCACAAGTAGGTTTACAGGTGTGAGTACGCAAAACAGAGTTCATTCTAGTATTACTATTTATTGACTACTAGAGGCCCAATGCACGAAATTCATGCAAGAGTAGGCCTTCCTTCCCCAGCTGCCGGCACTGGCTTCCCTCTGGCACCCGGGATCTGGCTTCCCTCCCTGTGGCTGCCGGCAGGCACCCGGGACCTGGGCTTCCCTCACAGCCCCAGTTTCGTCTGGAAAGACGTCCCGGAAGGATGTCTGGTCTAATTAGCATATTATGCTTTTATTATTATAGATTGTATTATTTTCCATAGGAACAATTATAAACCTACTTTTGCCTACCATATACTGTACTGCAACCTGAAAGTTGCTAGGAGAGTAAATCTTCAAAGTTCCCATCACAAAAAAATAAAAAAATTTGTAACTATGTATGGCGATGGATGGTAACTAGACTCATTGTGGTGACCATTTTGCAATGTAAACCAATATCAAATCATTATGTTGAATACCTGAATTATAATGTTATATGCCAATTACACCTTAAATAAAAAAACACACACACAAGCATGCATACCAGGTGACTCTTATGGTCTAGTGAGGTTGAATGTTTGTCCCCTGTGGTCTGAGATTACTGGTGAGAGGCTAAATGAAGGAGGTACTGGTGAGCCAGGATAACCTGAGCACGCTAGCAGAACTTCCCCCAGCTATCATTCTTGGAGCAAAGTGAATGCCAGCCGGCTCTGACACTGGCCACCACCAGCGGGCCTACTCAGCTGCACCGAACACAGACTTACCATGCAGTGACTTCATTCCCAAGGTGTAGGAAGGCCTCCGCAGTGGAAGGGACTTGGGGAGAGAAGGGTACGTGCTACTGAAGAGGACGTCGTTGGGCAGGGCTTGGTCCAGAAGTGAGGCCCTCGAGGTGAAGAAGTGCTCCCTCTGGCTGCTGTAGATGCTCTCATCCGACAGCGTCCTATGCAAGGCCCGCCTTGAGGTGGGGGTGTGGGGGAAAGGAGACTGAGGCGAGGAGAGCGCATGGAACTGAAAAACAGGGCCAAGACAACAGGAGGTCAATTTTCCAGGTCACACACCCAGGTCACACACCCAGGGCCCAGAGGTTGGGGGGAATGAGCGGGTTAACAAAATCACTGCTCTCAAGCACACCCCGTCAAACGCCAGAGCCCAACCACCTCTGTCTACATCCTTAGGGCCAACCCGAGATCCCGAGCCCACCACGCTGCCTATCAGTGCTCAGTGCGTAACTCAGACACATAAGTAAATGAATCCATCAATACTGTGTCATGATTTAGAACAAGATGAGGACAGACAATGTGAGCTGTTGTTGAATCCTGTGTCATTGACCAAACCATGTCATCTCTCTGAGCCCAGCTCCTTGTCTATGAAATGGGGCACATCATCCCTCAGGATCATTAGGAGGGTAAATGAAACACAGACTGATCACAACGTATATCAGTGGTGTTATGAAGTAATGTTACAGCCCCCAGGGAACAGCCGTGGAGCCAAGAAGGTGTCCTCAGATGCTTGTCAAGTGACTACATGTTTGCTGGGCAACAAGAGCATTTGATCAACACAATATATTAGTGTAAATAATAGCTGGCGCTTGGTAAACATTAACTACTATAATTATATTTAATGAGTTTTGGCGATATTTTATTTTTTGAGATAGATTTCTATTCCTGAAATGAAAACAGGAAGGTCATCTTTATAATTGACAAGTATTTAAATAGTTATAGAAAAATGACACATGTTCCAGATTCCAGATAGCTGTATCTCTTACTGATGTCTTTTGCCTTGGTGACCTGGTTTTAGTTGAGATTTTTCTGCAAAGAGCAAGCTTCTGAAAATTCCATTCATTGGGAGACAACAGACACATTACCAACATTTAAATATCCAGCATCCTGAAAGCCAACAGAGTATTTGGTCTGTTAAGAATAACACTATATTTATTCAGTTCCTCTTCGACTACTGCTCTCCTTGGCAGGGAGAACAATGTGGGGACAGCTGAAGGCCTGAGGAGGAGGCTGAGTCCTGGCAGGAAGCCACGCAGGACTTTCCATGACACTTTGAAGGGGCAGAGAGACAATGATGCAGCAACGGCTCTATTTAGAGAGCTGAGCAAACAGAGTTGACACTCAGGTTCATTCATGTGCTAGGGTCTAACACAATTCCATTAAACAAACCAAGGGTTAAATCAAGTCAATACTACCCACAGCATGGCATGCACAGTTGCTGCATAAATATTTTAAAGAACAGTAATCAACGGCATTGTAAATGAGCCTCAGGTGTAGCCAATTGTGTAAAAACTGTGCTCACTCTTAAAAATGCATGATGAGCTAAACCCAAGGTATATATGTGCTTGCCCAGAAAACGGAGCTACTGTGATAAACGCTTTGTGAGGCTTGAAGTGGAGGGAACTTGGTCTGGAAGTAACGATTTCTCTTCTCACTGCAGAGTGGGAATCAGAGGTTATAAAGCTTGCCAATTGCAATTAGAAAAAAACAACAAACCAAGCAGGTCACCTCTCCTCCATCTGCAAGCTCCAGGACCATCACACAGGCTCCTGCCTATCGAGTCAGATCTTGGATCTCCATTCAAACTCTGCTCAGTCTTTGTTGGGGCCTCTGGGTTCAGCAGAGGGATTTCCTTTTCCTGTGCGTATTCCCACCGATGGTTTTACAGGAGGGAAATTTCCCACCAATTCCAGTTTCAGTCGCATCAGAAAATACTGGTGCACTTCAGAGCAGTAAGCACTGCCTGGAAGAGGCCCTCTGAGCAGAGTGCTTTATTATAAGGTCTGACATCCTGCAGGAAAGGGAGGCCGGATGGGAGATGGAAGGAAGCCATCGGCCCAGGCCCAGAGGCTTTCTGCGCATTAAGAGTAGCAGGACCTAGTCTTGTCCAAACTCGTGAGGGTGGTTCCTCACCCCATCCCCCCTTCAATTCCAGTCTTAAAGGTGCACACACCTCTGGTTGCGGCAAGCGGCCCCTCTACCTTCCTGGCAGGTCAGGCCTGAGACTGCTGAGTGGCCCCACCGAGGGCTGCCGGCCCCTGGGAAGAACCTCACGGAGTTGACGGCTGACTGGATGGGATTGAGATCATCAGGCTGGGGGTTTCCAAGCTGTGCTCCCAGGAGCCTTCAGGGTTCATCACAGCATTATGGCTTGTGGAGAGGAGATGTTCAGGTGGGACCAAGGGCCATGACACTCACCCCTCTCATCAGAGAGACCCTGCGTTCTCATTCTACATATTGGACTTCCACATATACTTTTATTCAATAAAAGGATTTTTGTGCTTTAAAATCATTTGGGTGCCACTGACATACTCTGGCCTTCTATTTCAAAGCCTAGGAACACAGCCTGGAGAGGTGGCGCCTTGCTCCAGGTCAGTCTGCTGTTCTCCCACTTCTGCAGCCCTCCTGGCTCCCAGTGAAATGGGAGCACCTGCACTTGCAACAAGCAGGTGTCAGGTCTTCCTGAACCCTGGAGCTGTGTGAGGCCTCTTCCTTTGGTCTGTGCCTGAGTGCTAGCAGGACTACTGGTTTGCACCGTTGTCTGTTCACTTGCCACTGTATGCAGCCCTCATAGAAAATAGGGGTATTCATCCAGCCGGCGTGGCTCAGTGGTTGCGTATCCACCCATGAACCAATAGGTCACAGTTCCATTCCCTGCCAGGGCACATGCCCAGGTTATGGGCTTGATCTCCAGTAGGGGGCATACAGGAGACAGCCGTTCAATGTTTCTCTCTCATCACTGATGTTTTTAGCTCTTTCTCCTCCCTTCCTCTAAAAGCAAATAAAAACATTTAAAAATTTATTTTAAAGAAGCGTTGATTAAAAAAGAAAATAGGGTTATCCCATCTCTGCCTGCCAAGGAGGTTTCTTGCTGGCCAATAAAGCCAACGTGGTGTGAGTGGCTCCAAGGGTCACAGCCTGAAGCTGCCGCTCCTGGCATCTGGAGCCTGATGCAGTGGCCTGGAGCCGTGAGCCGGGTGTAATCTGGAAGGTTCTCAAGGGCACACTGTCCTTCCTGACACAGCAGAGCCACGGGCATTTAGTCAGTCTCAGAAGACACACAGAGCTCCTTAGCTGAGCTCATCTGAAACCAAACCAGAAAGGATGGGACTGGAGAGAAAACAGGCTATTTCCAGCTCCTCCTTCCAGCCTTTTTATAGTAATAGTTTCAGCAGAAGGATTTACTTTTAGAGGGTCTGACAGTCACATAATCACAGCTTAAAGAACGTGCACCCCTGTTTCAAATAGGAATGTTAAAGTAATTCATTTTGGAAATGAAAGCTAAGACCTAAAATAACAGCAAAACGGACATTTGCTTTCAATTACTTCCAGCGCAGGAGTGAATCAGAAGAACTCGAGCGTTAAACTTGCCCCTTTCCAAAAATGTTACACTAAGACTTGGAGGACAGATTTCTTTCATGGCAAGTTTTACTCTCCTCTAAATCAAAGGAAAAATGTAAAATAATTTTTATTTTTAAACTGGTCCTTAAGCATTTAATACACCTCATTGGGTTTTGATGGATAGAGAAATTTCAAGTGCTATCTTTTGTGAGGTTGCTAAGGAAACGGTTTGTACCCCGGGTGATGAGTCAGAACTGTTAAGTGCTGGCTTATAGAACAGAAATCAAGAATGGCAAATCTTTAAAATGATTTATGATCTTAATGTTTATGTTAATAAATCATTTCTTTTGCAAAACTCAAGAATGGGCTTTGGAGTCCACCTCAGTGCTGTCGATGTTGACTCTAAGTTTAGGAGGTGTGTCTGGCCCGCCTGGAGGAAAATGCATGTGTGCTGAGAACGCCGAATGGGACGCGACCACTGGGCTCCTGCAGGGCTTGCTTCCTGCTTCTGGTCACAGTCTGCGGGTGGTGAGTAGTTAACAGTCTAGCTTCCATTTTTAATCAATTCTCATAGTCCTTAAATGAAGCTTGCCAGTCACGTCAAACAGACTACAAATCATTCATCTAAGAACCTGGTGAACAGAACACAACGACGTTCACTGCCTCCTTCCTGGGTAGATGCCCTTCTCCTGGGACTACCCGCTACCGCAGACAGAAATGCCTCATACTCACAGTGAATACCTTTGGGCCCCGCTCAACACACACGGGCTCCGAGCCCTGAGTGCTGTTCACCTCAGGGGACAAGAGCAGAGAGTCCAAGCTGAGGTGAGTGGAACAAACCTTCCACATGGCTATGCAAAGGTGCAGCCACTGACACACAAACCAGTTCTAAGCAAATGGGGAGGGGGAACGGGTTCTGGGACTGGATGGGCAGGGTCTGGGTTCTAGAGAAGGCCCTGCAGCCTGGACTTCTGAGAGGGAGGGAGAGGAGGCTTTATGAAGTGGAGAGAGCCTGGAGGTTCTGAAGGTGAGTGTGCAGACCATTTGCTGGACTAGAGCACCCAGGGTAGGGCCAGCGTTGGGGCAGAAGCAGGCCAAGGTGCAGAGTGTTGCAGGCACACAGGAAGGGGAGCCCTTTGGATAGAAGGCACTAAAGCCCTTACAGAAAAATGTCCGTCTGACGAGGGGCCCCAGGTGCCCTGTGGAGTTCCGAGGAACAACGGCACTTGGAGAGTAATGTCCAAGGAAGAGCGGCTTGTGCCCCGAGCAGGGAACCCTGGGAGAAGAAAGAACCCTGGGGGTAGGACAGGCTGACATCCACCCAGACTAAAGGGATGTCGCTGCAGGAACAGAACATTTGGAAAACACTGTGAGCTAATTATTGGGAAGATTGGGTGATGGTGGGAAGAGGTTTCAATGGGGGGAGCTGGGAACCACCTTTTCGGAGGGAGTAACTGGCGAGCAGCTCCGGCCCGTCTGGCCTCTCTCTAACTGCTATTTGCCCCAAGCTCTGTCTTGTACCTTAAAGTTCTTCTGGGATTCGGGAGTTGGGCTTTCAAGGTCGATGAGTTTCTTGAGATCCTCCTCAATGGTGGACTTGGAGGCTGGCTTGGGAGATGCTCGGAGGTCCCTGGTGGAGGCCCGCAGCCTGGCGTGGGCTATTTCATTGCCATCACTCTGATGACGCCTTGAGTAAAGGAGAGAGAGATGGCATGAACTGAATCAGTCCAGTGGACCAAGGTCACAGTGGGCTGGGAAGGATGTAAGTCATTAGAGAGATGTTATAGGAGAGAAAAGAAGAATAACTTCTGTTCAATTACATTGGAAACTACTCAGATAAGTAATTGTTAAAGAAATGAAACCAATTTGAAACATAAACTAAGAAGTCTGATGAAAAAAATCATTCTTTTACAGGAAACAATTAGCTTTACCAAGCCAAAATTAGCAACAGACTTTTTAATAAAAGACACAGGGTATAAATCCCAAATGCAATCTTTGTGTAGACAAAAACAATGTAATTGAATGAATCATTTATTCTTTTTTTGCTGTACTACTTTGTAAAAAGTCCTTTATAGTCAGTCCTTTATATATATGTAGTCACTTACTTTCTAATGTTCCCTCTGGTGCCTCCTGGCCCAGTTAAGAACCAGATGGGAAGGCTGTGATTAATACCATCAAAGGGGGTGGGGGAGGGTGGGGATCTTTGCACCAGAGGGTTGATTTTTCTGAAGTGTGTTCTTTAGATATACCATCTTCCCTCTTACCCGAGGTTTTGCTTTCTGAGGTTACATTTACTCAGGGTCAACCATGATCCAAAAGTATTAAATGCAAGAATCCAGAAATAAACAATTCTTGTTTTAAACTGTGTGCCATTCTGAGTGGTGTGAATGAAGCATGTACTTCCTGCCCGACACGTGAATCATCCCTTTGTCCCGCATATCCCCAGATGGGTATACTACCCACCCATTAGTTCCCTCCTAGCTGCCCCAGTTATCAAATCGTTATCACTGAGAGACCACATTCACATAACCTGGTTACAGTATGTTGTTATAATTGTTCTATTTTATTATTAGTTATTGTTGTTACTCTCACACTGTGCTTAATTTATAAACTATCAAAGGTATGAATGTATAAAAAAACACCCATAGTATATACAGGGTTTGGTATTACCTGCAGCTTCAGGCATCCACTGGGGGTTATGGAACGTATCCCCCATGGATAAGGGGATACTAATATACTGTTTCCTAGGAGATCTAAGACTCTCAAATCTGAATATACTGCAATACATCTTATTTAAGGAATGGAGTGGGAGAGATAATTTAAGACAAGTTTTACTTAGAAAAAATAAGTGCTGCTCAGGGATTAGAACTTCGGCCCATGCACTGAATGCTCATGGGTTTGACTCCTAGTCGAGGACACATACCTGGGTTGCAAGTTCGATGCCCTGCCGTGGTCGGGGCACAGGCGGGAGGCAACCACATGAATCTCATGTTGCTGTTTCTCTCTCTCCCCTTCCCTCCCTCCCTCCCTTCTAGTCTCTCTGAAATTTAATGGAAAAATATCCTCAGGTGAGGATTAACCAACATAACAACAACAACAATAATAATAATCTCCCTACCAAATCAACTCTTCCCTACTTCCCAGCCTGGCTACCTCGGCCACAGAAAATTGCCTCAAACTTTCTGTTCTCTGTCATGTTACAAGCAAACCACCCAGTAGGAGAAACAAAAGAATTCTTACTTTCTTGTGTCCATAAATCCCACAGAATTTATGGTTCCTTCGGGTTTTTTCCATCCAATCAGGTACTTGCTGGTTGCGCCCTGGCGAGGGTAGAAAGTCCTAGGACCAGACGAGGAGGATGAGGAAGAGGAGAAGGAGGGTGCGAGCTGCGAGGAGGAGGCGGCCGGATGAAGCTCTTCCTTAGGGGAGCTCCGGGCACTGGTGAAGACGACAGGGCTGGCAGAGTGGCGGGAGCTCATGGTGCTGAGGAGAAGCAGGGCGAAGACAAGGGCCACGTGTGCGGGCGTGCACTGGGGTCAATGCATCAGCGGGGGTGTCATCTGGACAGGGTTACGGTGGGTTAGGAACAACGGCTATTTCATGGAACATGAATAGGGGTGGCCGGCTGGCCGGCCTTCCGGCTTTCTCTCTATAATTTAAATGTCTGCTGTCAGGGTGAAAGGTGGTCAGGGGCGTCAGTCTGCACTTTACATAAAGAGTAGGATAGTGAGACTTTGAAACACACTGGCACCTCTTAGGTTTGCTACAGGTAAGCCTACAGGAGGCAAGTGGGGGCAAGCCTGCCGCAAAGGCCGTGTGTCTTGCTTTCCTCAGAACCAGGGGTCATGGCGACGCTGCCAGGCCCACGCGGAGAGCAGGAGAGGAGACGGGTCAGGCGTTCAGCTTACACTCACATCCCAGGCCCAGGGCCACACTGAGGCCTCCCTAGCCACGGCACCCGCACGGATGCTGACTCTAGAAAAAGCTGTTCGTCACAATGAGCTTTCTTACACTGCACACAAAACCCACCCCAACATGGATTAAAGACTTAAGTACAAGATCGGAGCCCATAAAACTCCTAGAAGAAAACAGTAAGAGGAAGTCCCCTGACTTCAGTCTTGGCAATGATATTTTGGATTTGACAGCAAAAGCAGAGGTAACAAAAGCAAAAACAAACAAGTGGGACTGCATTGATTTAAAAAGCTGCTTATAGCAAAAAATACCATCAACAAAATAAAAAGGCAACTTACAAAATGAGAGACACTATCTACCTATAAGGGTTAAAATCCCTGTACCATGGTATATACATCATACAACTCAACAGAAGAGAAAAACAAATCGATTAAAAAAATGGGCAGAGGATCAGAATAGACATCATTTCCAAAGACATGCAGATGGCCAACAAGTGCATGAAAAGATGCCCAGTGGCACTAACCACGAGGGAAATGCAAATCAAAACCATAATGAGCCATCACCTCATACCTGTTAGACTGGTCATTATCAAAAAGACAAGAAATAACAAATGTGGATGTGGAGAAAAGGGAACCATTATGCACTGTTGGTGGGGTTGTAAATTGGTGTAACCACTATGGAAAACAGTATGGAGGGTCCTCAAACAGTTCCTCAAAAAATGGAAAATAGAACTAAGATATGATCCTGCAATCCCACTTCTGGGTATTTATCCAAATAAAACAAAAATACTATCTTGAGATATCTGTGCCCCTTGTGCTCACTGCAGCATTACTTACAATAGCTAGGACATGAAAGCAACCTAAGTGTCCATCAACGACTGAATGAATAAAGAAAATGTGGTATATTATATACACAAAATAGATTATTCGGCCATAAAAAAGGGAAAATCCTGCCATTTGCAATAACACAAATAGACTTTGAGGGGATTATGCTAAGAGAAGTAAGTCAGACAAAGACAAATACTGCATGATCTCACTTATACATGTAATCTAAAAACCATATTGGTGATTGCTAGAGGTGGGGGAGATGAAAGGGTGAAGGGGGTCAAAAGGTACAAACTCCAGTTGTAAGATAAGTAATGTACAGCAAGTGACTAAAAATAAAAGTTAAAAGCTGTTCATCATCAATATATTTCAAAACTAAAGTCCATAGAACTTAAGGAGAAGGCTACTCCTTATACTTTTAAAACTCAGAAAGCAGAATACTAGGGGTGAGAGTTTAAGTTGAGCACAACCTGAGGGCCTTTAATTGAGGATTTCCGCTTCCCTACCCATGATCTCACAGGACCCAAGTTCACACTCCAGGAGTCCTGCTGAGTTCTCCAGCTCAGGCTGGGACCAAAGACAGCTGACTCTTTAGGATGATGGACTTGCTTACTGAGAGTTAGTTAAGAGGATGTGGCCTCAAAGCATCCCTCTGCTGCAGTTTTATTCATCAAAAACTGATGGTCCTGGTCTGAACAACGTGCGGACTTTAGCTAATAATGACATATCACTATGGCGTCCTCAGTGATGACAAATGCACTACAGTCACGTGGGAGGCTGGTAAGGGGCCCGGGGAGCTCTCTTTACTACCTGTGCAGCTTTCTGTAAACCAGAAACTATTCTAGAATAGAAAACTAAGGGGGAAATACATAAAGCAAAAAAGAAAAGAAAAATAAACAAAAACCCCTGCACTCTAATGGTCCTGAGATAGCACATACAGCTGAAAAGGATCTGAAACTCCCACCTCAGCCCTTACATAAAAATCGTTTCCAGCTGGATTGTGTATTTACATGTAAATCTACAGATTCTGGACTAGAATGTGGAAGAACATTTTTCTGATAGAAGCAGAAGTTCTTTAATGGGATCATAAAGGAAAGGACTGCCATTAAAAGAACTTCTATTCATCTAAAGATAAAGAATAGGAGAACATATAGGGTGTCCCCCAAAATGTATACACACTTTGAATAATTATTAATTCCAATGGGCTAAATCTGAAAAGAAAGAAACATCTATTGAGCTATCAGAAAAAAGTGTGTATACATTTTGGGGGGACATCCTGTATATAAAATATATATCCAGCCATGGGCTCCTATCTAGAATACAGAACTAAGACAACCCAATAGAAAAATGGGCAAAGATTTGATAGGATTTTCACAAAAGAGGATAGCTAAAAAAATAAACACTGGTGCTCAGTGTCATCAGCTATCAAGAAAATGCAAATTACAGCCACACGGAGGGACCATTGTACACCCAGCAGCATGACTAAAATTACCGACTTACAATATTAAGTGCTAGAAAGGATGTGAATCAATTAGAACTCTTATACATGACTAGTGGGAGTGGTACCTGTTACAGCCACTTCAGCAAACTGGTTCACAGTCTCTGTGACAACTGAACGTTGTGTGTGTGTGTGTGTGTGTATCTCCTACGACTTAGCAATCCCACTCCTAGGTAAACACCCAAAAGAAATCCATACATACCGTGTACCAAATATCACATATAAGAATCTGTGATATCCTCAAACTGGAAACCCTCAAAATGTTCACCAACAGTACAGTGGATAAATGAGTTGCGGTGTTTCCCACAATGTAATTATACTACAGCAATGAAAACAAACTCATGCTACCTGCATGAATCTCACCAGCATAAGGCTGACTTGAAGACACAGACACAGAATAAAACATATGGTGTGACTCCTTTTCTATAAAGCCCCAAATTGGTATCCCAAGCCTGGGATTTTAGGAGTCGGGGCTGTGTTTACACTGGGAGGAGGCGGAGTGACTGGGGAAGGTGTGGGGGAGGAAGGGTGTCTGGACGTCGGGAATGTTCCAGGTCTTGATCTGGGTGGCGACTGCGTGGGTATGTCTGCATTGTGAAAAGTCATCTCGATGGACACTCATGCATGCACGTTGTACCTCAGTGAAATCACACCCACAAAATTAAAGCAAAAGGAGCTCGAGGGGGAAGGAAAAATCCCCTCACAATATCTCTCACATACATTGAAAAGCAGTGCAATCTCATTTAGCTTTTACTTCTTGGTAACAAATTACCCCCCTTGTTTGCTTTTGAAATTAAAAGGGAATGCAAAATCCTTGCATAAGTGCAGTACATTAGGTCAGTAAGAACAAAATAATAGCAGGTTTCTGCTACAGAGAGAGACTGAACGGGTACGGTGACCCAGAAGTAAAAAGGAAGAGGGACAGACACATAAAGACGGAGGCAGGCAAACTCAGAGGGGTGACACGGGAGACCAGGCTAACGGCCACACGATCGACACAGGCAGAGGCTTCCGCAGTGGTGGGAGTGCAGCCTTGGGGACACTTTAAAACAATGACAGGCTTGTGGCTTTTGTTAGCTACTTAGTGGCAAGATCCAATCTTTGGTTTGCCGATTTTTTCACCTGATATACCTACCCCATTCACATTTATAACACGGATGTGGCGATGCCGTGGTTAGTGTCTGAAGCAGATTTCCATACCGTGAAATGCAAAGAATCAGGGTCTAACGTACACATCTCTCAGCGTGGATAGTCACGTGCTTGCTTTACCTGCCTTGATTAGTATCCACAAGTGAGTGCAAGCGTGTCAGAATGACTGGAGCTGGTTCTCACACTTTAAATAAATGTTAAAATAGAAATGATAGGACCCCACCCGAATTCTGACTGAGTAGGCTGGGTGGGGTGCAGTGACATGAGAATTTGCACTTCTAAGGCGTGCCCGGCTGATGCTGTGGTCCCTGACTCATGCTGAAAACCACTGTACATTTGAATTGCCCATATTTTATCTTTCTCAGCAACAAGTATCTTGATATGATAACATCGGTATTCAAAACCCTGAGGCTTTCAAAGCCTAAATGTTTGGTCGGAACAGAAATAATTAGCCATGAGAATAGAAAGTAGGTTGTATCATCTGTTAACTTACAAATCATTCCTCCATGTTTTAAATAGCTATGCTGGCTTTAGCCAAATGCATACACTGCATAATGGGGAAAGTTATAGAAAAGGCTTAGACATGTAAAAGGGAAGAGCAATAAATAAATAAATAATGTATACAGTGTTTGGAGCTTTTCCCAAACATTATTTCTCTGAGAGGAAGAGACAAAACAACTAAAATGACATTGTCAGCTTCATACTTTCAAAGGGGAACTGTGTGGCTGGCCTGTTTCATTCTCTTGGAGATTTCCTGGTAACGCAACACAATGCGGTGTTACCCACGGCAAGTTAGGTCTCGCTATAGGGGCTGTGTGAGACGGTGACGGAACAGGAAGAGACAGCAACAGGTATGTCTGTGTGGAAACCACAACCTCTGCTCTTTTCTTGTTATATCAAAAGTGCATTTAGCCATGAGCACAACCAAACTGGGGAAACCACTAAAAATTTAGTCAGGGTGTTCCTGGATTCCACAGGAGGAGGCTGGCTTTACACTTTATAAATGACAAGACGTTTGTTTCCACTTTCCTGAAATTGGAACCACCTTAGGTGCATTTGGTCATTCCACAACATGAATTTTGAAAAGGAAGAGCAGATGC